CAAGCGCAAGGTCACCAAACTTTCCTCTACATACCCAGTAGTATATGTTTGTGTAATATCTCAGTTTTTTTATTGTTTATATTCCAGTGCAAAGACTTGGGTAAAATTAACTTGGAAAAAAAAAAGACTCTGTCTTTGATGATTGATGTGATAATTCGGTTTCCCTTTTTTTCCTTTAATTGAATGTCAGTTAAAATTTGCAGCAATATGGCCGTAAATTAAAATAATCTCTATTTTTGTTGCTTTGTTGCCTGGCATTTTCTTGTAGTCTATGCCAGTGTCTGTGCTTTTGTTTTTCTTAATCTAAATCTTCTTTTCTGTGTTATAAATGTTGAAAAAATTATGGGACATTACTAATGTGATATTTTCTCAAACTGTTGGGGTTTTTCCATATTGGATCAGCATTGAGGATTGTGGGGTACGAACTAGGTTTGGTGGTTAAGGGCTTCCTTACAAGGATTGGTTTTGGACTATTGAGCTGATCATTGTTTGTGGACTGGCAGCAGCACAGCCGTGTAAATAGAGGAATTTTATGTTCTGTTTCTTCTTCTTCTTCTTCTTCTTCTTCTTCTTCTTCCTCTTCTTCTTCTTCTTCTTTTTTTTTTTTCCTTTTTTCTTCCCCTAGCAGGGGAGGGTTGGAATTTAGGAAGCAGGATAGGGGAAGGGGGATTTGACCCAGGACCTCTAGATCCTGGGGCCTCAGCATCTGTTTTGTTTGAGAAAGTCCGGACTTTTGGGAATGTTATGTTCGTTTGAGCTACTTTGAATTACATAAATGTTAAACTGAAATTATTGATTATCTGGTGGCCATAGTGTCGTTTTTCATCTGGCTCTTGTGGTCAGTTCACTTTTTTGGTTTCTGTTATTCATTATTGACTCCAAGTATGCTTGATTTCTGCTTTTCTAACCTTGGGTTATCTGTGGTGAGGTTGTGATCTCACCATACAGCACCTCTTGTTTGCTAATTTCATAATGCTTACAAGGTTGTGGAGGAGGTACATATTGATGTCGCATGGCTTTCTCTCTTTCGCATACTCCAGTATCACCATTGGGACTTTCTCTTTTGACATTGAAGTACGATAGATCATATGAATCCTGTTTTCTGTTATTTATTGCAGATCGTTTTGGTATTATATCCACTGGCAGGTATGAAATTAGGATTGAGGAAAATGTCAACACAACCACAATATGAACTAAGATATATGCCTAACATGCAATGAGTTTATTACTAATCAATAAGTTGGACTTGGAGCATAAAGTTACAAGCTTGACTTGAATTTCATCAACCTGACGATTTCCACTAACTCTTCTGCCAGGGTGGGGATTTGAGATACTGCCAGAAGTGTGCCCTCCATAAACCTCCACGTGCACATCATTGCCGTGTATGTAACCGATGTGTGTTGCGAATGGTATGCCTGGTCTATTTACTCTTTATGCCTTTTCTTGAATGTCCTGGATATTGCCTTAAAGTGCTACCTCTTGAATTTAAGGATCACCATTGCGTGTGGTTGAATAATTGTGTCGGCCATGCGAACTATAAGACTTTTTTCATCTTCATCGTTTACGCCGTTGTTTCATGCATATACTCCCTGGTATGTCAATATATCTCTTTCAGTTCAGTAAAAGATTCTTATTTTTCTATTCTGTGCACGTGCTTCATTTTATTTACCTATTAGTTGACATTTAATTATTGTGGCCTGTGGTCGAACATGCCTTAATTTGAATGCGGATTTTGTTCTTCTTACCCTCTCCTCCTTTTTTCTTCACCAAGTCTTCTGAATCTCTTTATTTGCTCTTTATTATTTCAGGTTTTGCTTTGCGGTAGCCTAACTGTTGATATGACAGATGAAGAGCAAAATGAAGGCTTTTTTAGAGCTGCATATGTAACTTCTTCCTGTATCTATATTTCAACAAGTTATAATTTTGCATATCCTTGCATTCAACTTGAACAGTTTAGCCTTCAGGTCATTTCAGGGCTCCTGCTGGTGCCATTGACTCTTGCGCTGACCATCTTTATGTTTTGGCATGTTTATCTTATTCTGCAATACAAGACCACAATAGAGGTTTGCAAATGGTGGTGATCGTAATTTTTTTCATCTATCTGGCATCTGATCAAGTCTGATGACCACTTCCTACCTCTTTTACCGTACAGTACCATGAAGGTGTGAGAGCTATGTGGCTTGCTGAAAAAGGAGGTTATCTGTATTCACATCCATATGATCTTGGTGCTTATGAGAATATGATATCAGTGAGTCGTTTCTCTCTACTCTTGTTCTTAGTAGCAAATAAGAGAGCCTAGAGTAGGCAATTCATTTGGCTGATCAGATCAGGCTTTTTGTGCATAGAAGTTTACTAACTAATACTGTAGATATCATGGTACAACATGCTCTCCGAGATATGGTCTTAGCTTTCTAGGCATTTATACGTGATTTACTTGACTTGCAGGTTTTAGGTCCAAATATCTTTTGCTGGGTATGTCCCACCTCAGAGCAGATCGGTTCTGGCCTTCGTTTCCGCACGGGAGTTGATAAGTTAGCAGGGACATCATTTTAGACGTATGTAGAGCTTGGAGTTACAATGATTTTGTACTGCTGGTAGTATTGGAGGAAAGGCAGCAGGTCCTATATCATTCGTTGATGATACTCAAATTCTGGTGTCCGCGAGCTTTCTTTTTGGGAATACAACCATTAAAAAAGAGTTTGTCTTGTGTAGCTCCTCAAACTCCACGTTGTTGCGGAAGTAGTCAAAGTTGACTGATTTCTGAAGCAGTCAGATGTAAAATAGGCCCTCCTTCTTCTTATGACCCTTTTTTTTTCAAAAGTACAGTCCTCATACAATCATGTACAAATGACAGTTCCAGGCTAACAGCACAGCAACTTCAAGTAGAAGAGATAGGCCAAAAATTGTAACTTAAAGATGTTGTAATGTTGTGACTCTCAGGCAGTGTATGAACCATAATTGATTTAATTGATGTTTTGATTGAATTTGTTGCAAAATTTAGGTCCCGGCTCTGAAATGGGAGAGTTTGATATGGGGCTTCCATTTTCCTTTGTTTGATGAGCATCTGAAATGTGATTGATGAATGCATTATTAAAACTGGATCCGGGGCTGGAACGGTTGTCAGAGCAATCGTTCCGGAAGGTGTAACACCATTTGCACACGGTATAACATCATCTGTACAAAGTATAATAATAGAATAACAGCAAGTAACACTAGAACAACATTTTTATGGATCTCACGTGACGTAAAAATCGAGTTACAAGGAGTGATTTGAGCCGCATAAATATTTTTGGCCTAATCATGGCCGTGAACCTTCCGGAACGGTTGTCAGAACTGGCCTTTGTCAGAGACTCAGAGCTAGGATGCCGGGATGGGGTGCTGTGTCATTCTATGCTGCGTTAATGGCAAAATCGGATTCCTTGGCCTTTTGATTCAAAAATTCATAATATCTTGAGCCGGGTGTGTAAACCGATACTGATGCCATATGATCTAGTAATTGTAAAAAGATTTAACACGTAATTTACAACATATCAAATAAATGGAACTCAAAAATTTTAAAAAAAAATGAGAGTCACTTTCTTCCTTTTTCTTTTCTCCATCATTCTTTCCCACTCGTACTTTTTGGATGATTATGCAATATTTTATTTGTAAATTATAATAAATTAAATTTTATTTATCTTTTACTTTTTGTAACTGTGATAAAGTGGGGTATGATTTATTTGTTTATTTTGAGTTGATTTTTATAATAATTGGCATAATTTAATGGTTTGAGTAAGGGTTGAGAAGATGTTGAAAAAAAATATAAATTCATAAGAAATCAGTTTTGAGCATATAGAATTAATTAAATTGATACAAGTGTGTTTCTTTTTAAATATCTTTTTTATTTTTCAAATTCATATTCTTTTGTGGTATAGCATTGTGATGTGGTAATACTATAAGACATTGTTTTTAAGGCGATGGTTTCCTTGAAATGAATAAAGTAGTTCAGGAATATTTTTATTTAACAAGTGAAAGGGTGCTTTAGGGTTTTTAAAAATTTTGTTGCACAAATAACAAAAGTAAGGGAGGTAATTGATATTTTTAAAACCTTAGGGGCGTCAAGTGATATTAAGAGAAACTCAGTGTAGGTTTCTGATATTATCCCAAAATTAAAATTCAAAAAGGTTAATTAAGAGAAGGAAAAAGAAAGGAGGTAATAATTTCTTGTTCCTTTAAATAACCATTGTCAAACAGCTATTAATTAATTCACTGTCGTATCAGCGCGGACGGAGTGAAGGGATGGCGAGGGAACTAACAGTAACACTAGGCAGAGTGAGCGGTTGGATGGATAATTGTTTCTTTTCTTTTTTCTACAAAAAGTCGGATGGGACTTCATGGGAGTGAATGCCCTTGCGTGACACTACTTGTAATTTGACCTTTCTCTCCCCCAGCCAGTATAGCATGAAAACTCTGCCAACCATTCTACAAATTTTGCTTAGATGGACCGATTCATCTATTATAATAATATTTTATCTATTGGTGAAATAAATAAAGTTTAAAATTAAAATATTAGAAATTAGAGATATTGAAGCGTTTTTTTTTTTATAGTTTTGAATCTAGTCTGACTATTTATTAGTGTTCATGAATTAGTTGTAGATTAGTAATATTGATCCAACTTTTGTGGCTCAGCTGTAATTTAATCCAAAAAAGACTTTAATCTAATCTAGTTTTGGGCGGAGTTTCTTCAAGAAAACACATTTGCCAACAGACGATGGAAGATTTATCTAATATTTTTAACACCATTTTTGCTTGCTTTATGTATATTGTGATTTTTTTTCGGGCGCTGGGGGTTGTCTTGCCTTTTAAAAAGAAGTTGCTCTGGCAGGAGGTAAATCTGCTCTGGCAATAGGGGCAAGGCAGGCCCACGGACATGGTCCCGTACTTGTGTTTTGCCTATGAATCTCTACATTAATCTGATTGGTGGCCAATGGATACACAACATTAAAATAATTATTATTATAAAACAATAATGTAATCTGATGCATGATTGGATGCCCATGTCAGATGGCCCGAACAGAAATTGTCTAACTTTTGCAGTGGTGCTGTTCACGGATTCATCACTATCATTGAACTCTTCACTTTCCTTTATGCACTGTCATAAATTTCGCTTTGTTTCTTTTGAACTCCGATTTCGGAGTTCTAATGGAGGAGAATGTCATCTGCACAACGGAAACCAACAGGTTTGATTTCCATTTGTGGTTTCTTTAATTGTTGTACCCTTTTCTTTCCTACTGTGTTTATTGCCTTTGTTTAATCAGTGCTTTGTGATTCCTCTCTTTCTCTTCCCCCGAACATATCTTGGTGCAAGCATGTACCAAAAAAAAAAATTGTACAAAGGAAGCTCCTTTGGATAAAAGCCTTGAGCTTGTTCAGCACTATAAGCACAAAGTTGAGGGAGCTATTTAATAGTAGTCCTAAATCTTGCAAGTTGAGCTGTGTCTTGGTGAACTGTTTCTTGGTCGGATTCGTTGAAAATTTGTTGTTGGGATCGAGAATTTATCATGCTTCTGCTGGGTTGGGTCTGGGGTTTGGAGATATGAATTTTTGTTGGACTGAAGTTAATCGATCAATTGTTTAATGATGTGAATGCTGTGAGTGAAAGGAAGAGTGAAGGTTTAATCCCGACGGCCGGATATTACCAATTAATTGGCGTTGACGATTTCCATTTTGGTGACAAATAAGTTATACTAGCCGATATGTGTCTTACCATATGGCACCAGAATGGAAATCATCAACTTCAATTAATTAAACCTTCACTATTCTCACGTTATATGGAAATCGTCAACTTCAACTCATCTTAAAGCATATCAACGTGAATTCATATCAGTGCCATTTTCCGTATCAGCTTTCCTATTGAAATTGCTCCTTTACCCCAACATTGTGCTTTACACATGTCCGCAACCTCCGCGTCTTTGGAATGAGATTTCGAGGCTTTTCTTAAATGTTGGGGAAGTTTACTGTCTGTCAAAAACGAATGCGATTCCTTTTATAAGATATTTCCTGAGTTTCCGTACTTGTTTAATGATAAATTCAGAATTTTACTGGTCTTGTTGCATTATCTTAAATGAAATGGGTTGAAAATTTTCTAGATTGATCTAGAAGAATGATGAACAATGTTGCATTTGAATTTACAATAGGCATTGACAGGTGAATTTTTGAATTTAGCTGCATAATCTTGAGCGGAAGAAAGGACCAATATATTAGACCTTAAAATAGCTTGTGCAACCATTTTAAATTCATGCTGTTCCTTGAAAACCAACCAGTGGGGTAACAGATGCAATTTTTTTTTAATATGTAAATCAAGAAGATGAAGAAGAAGGTTCAATCACAGGTTGGTTGCTGAAGATTATTATGTAGCATTGATAAGTGGCCTTACATATTTGAGTGGTCTTGAGGTCTGTAGTATGATGATGCATAGGTGTAACCTCTTTTTTGCTTTTCTTCCCCCATCTTTTGAGGTGGTATAGCTAATTCATTTAAGGTCTCTAGGAGGTGCTATAAATGCAATGCTTTATTTATCTTAGTTCTCAAGCATATAATTCAAACTAATGCTGACTTACCCTACAAGGAGACTTGCCATGCTTATGATGTTACTATTGAATTTTGATCTTCCTCGCTCATTCTAGTTCACCTAGCTACAATTTGATAACAGAGCTGTCCAAATCACATTGCTCCTCTTCTCATGCTTGCATGAGCTGACCAAATAGCATTACAAAATCTAAATGGGAAGAGATTGACTCCTTTTTTTTAACCCTCGTTACAAGCTTCCATATCCAGTTTTCCTCACAATTTTCACTCTCCCAGTGTTCCGATTGAGGAGGTGTTTCAAACCAGCATTCTTTTCATGGATAGGAAACGGAAATTGCAAGCAGAAGAATTAGGCACACCTCCATCAAAGCTTAAATGGCTAAGTCGAGGCTTTGCTTCAGAGTATACTTTTCCTGCTAATGGTGACTCAGATGTAATAGATAAAGGGGAGTTAAATGGAATGTCAACTGCTGAGGAGTCAGAACAAGAGTCTGCCAACGATAGTAACAGTATTGCTGCCGATGCTGACTCGAGCATTTCTGTGTCTAATGAAACTGAAGTAGGAGCTGGTCATGGATATTTCAAAGAATATTCATCTGACAAGCCTATAAATTCTTCTGTTACCTGCGGAGGCAATTGTTCTAAGCATGCCCAAAATTCTTCCAAGAGCAGTTTCATAATGAAATCAAGTTCCCATATTCTGGAATCGCCATCAGCTGGCAAAAAGCATGATTTTCTCTATCATGATATAGGCCTGAAGTCATCCCTGAATTATGAGGAGCACCTCCTGGAATTTGGAAGTCACAGCAATTGCAGCTGTCCAGAATGCAGAGCTAGTTTTGAAGGATACACAGACAAGGAACTTGAAGAAATGCTTTATTCTAATGGAGCGACTCCAAATAATTATGTTCTTTCTTCTGAAAGATGGACTCTCAACCAAGGTAACCATGTTAAGCTGAAAGACCATTCTTCTCATGTTTTATTTTGTCAACATTATTGAATGCTAGGTCTTTGGTGATCATGTAACTTGAACTGGCTTATTTTGTTCCTTTCTGCCTAAATCATTTCTTTATTACAGACCAGCATGCACTTAACGTGAAATTTTTTACATTATCTGAATGCAGATACTCAACAAGGCGCCAAGAAATTAACCATTGATAAAGAGTTCGAGCAGTACTTTTCCATGCTTATGCTGTGATCCAGTTCTTTTGAACATGAGCAGTTTATGTACATTATTTAATAATTGATGTTTGTATGTATTTACTAACTAGACGAATGAAGCTTCTCATTTTAATCCTTTCTTTTGTCCATTTTTTTTGCATTTCAGCTTTTTCTTAGATTGGTTGATCATGTCATCCTTTGTTTCGAGTATTTGTAATTTTGCTATGCCAGAATGATAGCATGAAACAAAAATCTTTTCATACAAAGTTTTCCACTTCAATTCTTCAGAAAACTTTTTTGACTGCAGGGCTTTTATATGTGCCTAACATTTTGGCCTGTTCTCTTTTTGTTTTTCTGTCCTCCTTAAATCTTGTGAATAAATTTCAAATTCTTGTCATTTATCATGCTTTTTGGACCAGTCTTGTACTTGATTGGTTTTTGACATGGTGCTTCATTTGATGCTTTATTGATTTTCTTAGATTCAAGTGGCCTTTTCTTAGTTGAATTTGAATTTATGCAGAGGAGACAAATTTGGGGTTGACAACTTATGGTGGAATTGCAAGTTTTTAGTTACTTACTGGTGCATGTGCTGTGAATTGCAGATATAGCTTAAAAAAATTGTGTTTTTCTCACTATCAATTTTAGCTTTTTCGGAGATGAATATTCTTCTGAGCCAGGTACTTTCTATATCTTTTTCTTCCTTTTCTTTTTGCATCTTTTTTCATGATAAGCCAATCACACTTATTGTCTTCCAACAGACTCGTATGTTTTATTTTTCACGGGCCCCCATCCTAATTAATGGTGTTGATGTTCTTTGAACAGATGAGAATATTTCAATACTTTTTTACTTGCAATTCCTTTCTTGCAGAGATTGACAAAACAATGAGGTAATCCAATAAGAAGTTCATTTAGTATTTGGCAGTAGGGTAACTTTTGATTCATTGACAATATTTTTTAGTCAGCCTCATAGCTTTAAATCAGTGTTAGTATTGTCGCTCTAATGCAGAATTTCATAAACCATTGAATTTCTGGAACAGCTTCAACTACAATACTAATAAGAGTTCCAAACTTTTTTGCATGAGAAGATGGTTCATCTCCAATGAAATAGAACCTTAAGATGAAGACATGAAATGACATAGAAATGTTCTCAGTTCACCCCTGGTAGAGACGTGCTTCAGACTTCAGCAATACTTGTTTCAGAAGCACAAATTAATTTACAGCATGAAAACGGATCCTTGCAGTAGGGAGCTTGACAAATGACACGGAATGATTCTAAACCCTAATGTATCCTATGACTTGGTTTATTGCACAGCTTTCGTAGCTGGCTAACGAAAATAACATGCAGTTGAAAGGCATTGTCTCATAATTGAACAAATGAAGCAAATTTATGGGGCAGAAAGTACAACAAAAACACTCAAGGAAAATTGTAAATTAAGGGGACCCAATCAGCATGATGGAAGATCTGAAGGAGGTGGTGGTAATTTTTCATTAGGGAGGAACCCATTGAGTACAATCCATGCCATTCGCAAACCCCAACTTGTGTGCACGTCAAAGTGGCAGTGCATAAGCCATACTCCTGTTTGACAAGGTAAACAATCAGGACAAGTTAGTTAGCTCAACAGAGAAAGATCAGTATAACCGCATGTCAATGTGTTTTGTTTAGTACTTGAAAATCCATTGATCTGGTCTGATGTTGAATAAATTTCTGGTAAGAGTTGCATCTTGTTTTTCATGCTAGGTACCTGGATTGTCTGCAAAGAACCGAATGGCGAGCCAGCCACCTGATGGAACCCCCACCGTATTCCTTTCCACTGGATCCACCAGGTTGAAGTTGGCAGGGTCCTTGTTTGGATCGTAGTTTCCAAACCCTTCCCCAACGACGAAGAAGTTGAAACCATGCAGGTGAAGAGGATGGCTCTCTACCCCCAGAATGCTAGTGTCTTGCAACACTACCTCGACACTTGTATTAAACTGTAACACGACAGTCCGGGTTGCATTGGTAACTATTGTGTTATTAGGCGGTGTTCCAGTATAGTTGTATGGATTTGTGGGCTGAGTTGGGAAATCAGTGGTGAAAACACCATTTGATTTACCGAAAAAGTAGGATTGCAGAAGAGCTGTTGATGGGAGAGCAAAAGAAATATTGTTAACTGAAGCTGCAAATTTTGTGCCATTTGGTCCTTGGCAAGTTGTGTTAGCAGGGCAAGGACTTGATCCAAGTCCTATGGTGAAGTAAAAGCGCTTTTGAACGGTTTGTGGAACGTTTGCTGGAAATTTGGCTGTGGCTAAGCTACGGAATTTCCTGGTGAAGTTTGCAACAAAACTGGTGGCATTCACTGCAGGCAGGGTTGGGTTTACGACTGTTTTGTTTGCAATGGAAGCGTCGTGTTGGTATTCAAGCATCCCGGCAACAGTGGAATTGTCAATGGTACCTTGCCCTGTAAAGTAGGGTGCGGCAGCCATGATGAAGGTGGCAGTTGGAGAGGTTGGCTTGGTTTTCAGAAGCACATTGGTGGTCTGGCCTGGGGTTATAACAACTACGTCAGTCTTGAACGGTTTGACATATAAAGCATCGGCTTCAACAATAGTGACCGAATGGTTGGCTATACTAAAATATAGTTCGTCATTCATTGCTGCATTTATCAGGCGTAGCATGTACGTCTTGCCTGGTTTCACCTTCAACTTGAATGTATCTGGAAAGCAAACATGCCAGAAATGGATTTTAATTTCAAACAAGTCATATGTCTTTTAAGGAAGCAAACAGGTATGGGAGAAGGCAAAATGCAAAATCTCCCCAGTATAACGTTGAAAGGTATTAATTGAACATCAAGTAGTAAGATTCTTTAGACTCGTTTGAGATTTTGAAGGGCGGTCTTCCGTATTGATTCAGGCATAAGGAAGCTTTCAAACTTGATTTGATTTAACTAAGTTCTTCAGCTTCGATTTTGTCTCAATCCAGTTGTCATTGTGCTTTCAGGTGTACAATGGCTGTACTAAATATAAGGGGTTACAAATGAAGGATTAATTTTTCAATACACTGATAGTGTATATATTATTAGTGTATAATTACATGTATGATAACTAATTTAAATTTTAATTTTTTAAACATGTCTTGTATTCAATCTGAAAGTGTATTCGTTGTCAGTGTATATATTATTACCTCTAGAAATGAAATGCATTTTAGAGTTGGAGTATGATTCAAAAATTTTTGCAATATATTATAAATACATTTTTCTAATCAATTTTTTTTATCTTTACAGACATTTTTTTTTATTTTACATATATTAGATAGTGTTAAGAGTGTTATTCCAATTTTTTTTTTAAGTAATCTTCTACCGAAACAACTCACATTCAATGTTTGCTTTTTATCAAAAAAGAAAAAAAAAAATCGACAGGGCCACACTATTACACATACATACATTCAAAATTTAAAAAAAAAAATCAAAGTCTAAAGGCTAAAGAAATAGCGGTGAAACATGAAGAACAGAAGAAGTGTACCTCTCCTTTCATGGACCGTGGGTTATTGCGGTGGCATCTTCTTGTCATAAATGTTAGCGACAAAAATTGCCCACAAGTAGATTTTTTATTTTTTTAGAATGACCTTTGTCGGAGTGTTTTAAGCCAAGTAGCGTTAGTTGTGTAAAAGAGACATCCAGAGAAAGGGGAAACGAAACCCTTGAACCTTTTTGCAGTCTTGCTAGCAAACAAATGCTTACTTGGTCTAGTCTTTTACAAACTAAGTTGCGACCTCCAAATTGGAGGCGGCCACAACAACGGCGCTGCGCATGGATGGCGCTTCAATTATGAAAGCTGCATTCCGGTACCACTTACCATACCCATGGCCATGAGAGGCTATGATCATTCAGAGGCGGACACCACCAGTTTTTTATTTGAAGACCAGTAGTACAATAATAAAAAGGTGTAATGTAGTACAGTTGGTTCTCGTAATTATTATATGTTAGGAGGCCACAATCGGTCATTTAACAAAAGAATTATATAGAGATGAATATCTCGGAAGAAGCTGTCCCTATATCCTTTAAGAACGCCTTAAAAGACAATCACGCTGGCAAGTAGGAATGTCATCATAAACATAAAGAAATCATACCTTCATGGGAACAATTATAGAGGGGTCCTGGAAGCCCATTGATGGTGTAGGCGTCGGAAACATTTGGGGCACCCCCTGTCTGAAGAGCCTGGCTGATTACGGCTTCCGTGTCTGCATTCCACCATTCTCCTGAGAACCAAGAAAGAACATGTCAAGTCTTGCATCAGAGTAGAAACTCCCGAGAAATTAACAACCAAATTGCATGCATGAACAAATTATACACTAGTTGTTTATATTGCGCCTGTGGCTGATTACCGAACACAATGGGAACTTCCTTGTATGGCTTTTCAAAGGGGTAAGATTCATTGCGCCTGGGGAAGATGATAAGCGGTCCGTACACGGTGGACCTGAGCCAAGAAATGTGAGCATGCCAGAAGAGAGTGCCTCTGTGCCCCGTCAGTGTGAAGTTGTAGGTGTATGTGTGGCCAGTTTGAATCGGGCATTGGGTTACATACGCTGGTCCATCAGCCCAACCGGTCCTGAGTTGCCGGACTCCATGCCTTCTTATACATCAATCAACAAAAACCATACATGTTTTGGTTACGTTGCATTTCCCCTTTTTAAATGACTACTGCACGATTAATCAACGTACTAGCTAATACGTAGTTTTAATGAATAATTTGTTGGTGTTCTTTTGCCATACCAGTGAATGGTTATGTTGTTTGCTACATGGTTAACCACCTTGATGATGAGTTGATCACCTTCTCTTGCTACCAGGCGAGGGCCTGGAAATTGCCCGTTCACGCTTACAATGCTCTTGGTGTGGCACAATCTGGTCACATTGTGCTGTACAATCTACGTACCATGCATGAACGAAAACATAATTAGCCCCAGCAAAATTCAAGAAAATTATGGTTTGACGTACACTGCACAACTCAGAATCAGTGAAGCTAGAAGGTTCTTTCAGCTAAATTTCGTTACATAAGACGTACATTGAACGTGTAGTGCCTCGTCGCGCACAGTGCAGGCTTAGGCAACAGGGATACGACACAGCAAACAAAGAATAGGATTGGTAAGTAATGCGGCGGAGAAAAATGGTGGAATGCCATTCTTCCTCTCATTTAACAGATGAAACTGGAGAGTTACAGGAGTGAAGATGGATTTTGAGCCGCTCAGCTCCGAATTGAAGTGTGCATGTGTGTTAGAGACAGGTGCTCTGGAGGGTTATTTATAAGGAGCCATGATTTGAGTTAGTGTAAGATTACCTTGGAGATTCAGAACAGGAAAAGAGGGGTTAAAAAAACATACATATAAATTTGGAAAGTTCATGGGGTTAATTATTTTGCAGTTGAGATGGTCATCATCTTGTCTGCTTTCCTTCACAGTTGGTCATGCTGAATTTTCGAGTGATGATAAAGTAAGGCAATAAGACATAGATTTCTCCCTCGGGTGCTGTCAGCTGGTCCTTGTAACCAAGACGATTTTGCTCTCAAATTTACATGTTAATTCCACAAATTAAATGGCTCTGCTCCCTCGAAAACGAGTGATTACCCAAATGCCAAGGTTTAGAGTCAAAAATTTTGAAAATCTCTGGCTACTTCTGGTAACATGGTGTGATTTCGATACCAACCTGACAGGTGTAAATGCGTTTAGCCTTCTAGATATTCTGCCCGCATGAACGTCGTAAATATTGCTGTGCAGTGCAATAAACTCAGAAGGATTTTTTTTGCGGGGTATCTTTATTCTAGTCGTAACTAACCACGTACGCTTATTAATAACTTTCCTAGCTATATTACCACGCCTTTGGGTTCTGTCTGTTAATCTACCAATAATATGTGGCCGGAATTTAAGTCAAACGATTGATGTAGGAATGCCTGACATTCTGTACCAATAAGTTAAAAGGCAGAGGAATGCTACAAGAGTCGAGTCAGGTGGCCATTAATTATCAGACTTTATTCCCCAACTATAGAATACTAATATTATTGTTGTAGGGCGTAAGCTAAAGCTGATAATGAGCAGCGCCAAAAGAACTCGACACATTTCGCCAGGCGAACGTCTTAGAGACGAATGCATTAGGCCTACCGGTTTCAAGAAACAAAAAAAAAAAAAAAAGGCAGCAAAAGAATCTGACTTAGCTTCGTCAACAGAACACAATAATATATATTATTATCAGGCAGGCAACAGAATAAAGTCTAGCCAACACAAACTCTTAGGAAAAGAAAAAGAAAACCCCCACGCAGAAGCAGAACTCTCCTTGTCAAAAATGAAATACAAGCCATGGTACGATGAGAATACGAGTCTATTATAGCATCGGCCTGTTGGATAGGGACGGTGCGCGACTCTGTTCCATCATGATCGGATCGTTTCCAACCTCCCTGCTACCACCGGCTCTTTTTTGATAAACAAATTTGTCTTTATGGATACCAAATCCACAGAATTAATATGAATGCCAAATCCACCCCGTGTTGCTTTTCCTCTCCCTCCCCTCCTCTTCCCGTTCCCTGAAAAAGAAAGTAGCAGTAGTATTACGTGCATTGTTAGCTCCCAAGGCAAGAAAGTTTATTAAGTATTTATCACTTAAGCCCGTCACTTGAATTTTAAGGCCTGCAATAAAGATGTTTGTATGATTAATGTTTTCATTAAACTGGGATGATACGACGGTACATCTTACTGCTATATTCGCTGGTCGGTAGTTGTAGGATGAGACTTTTACCATACCTATCCTTCTTATCTCCTCCCTGTTTAACTTCGCATCTAATGTTCAATCGTACTGAATAAATAGACGCAACCCTGTTGGTGTTGGGCCACCTTCCTTAGGTAGTTACTTCATGACTAAGAC